GTATACACACACACACACACATATATATACATATAGTATATTTGTTTCCATCTACGAGGGTTTCCTATAGCAAGCCTCCAGGCGGATTCTCGGCCCATCTCCAACACCTCGCGACAGATTAAATCACTGCCCAAGCCATGTTGTTTTTTTTTCGGTTCGTCTCGGGAGGCGCCAACCTAGTGGGCAGTATCGTTCACGAGGAAGCGGCCAGGCACCGATAAATTTGACTCGGTGGCCCCGGGTTGTACAAGAGGTCGTAGGCTAAGTGCACCAAGACGTCTCCAAAGCACGAGTTGGCTTCCAGGTTTCACTTTTATAAAGCAAAACTGTTTAGGTCCTTCTGCATGACACCTGCTGCTAGTCAAATCCATCTACGGAGTTTCTGGTCTGGCAGCCAAGTCATGACCTACGCTACCAAGATATGTGAAGCTCTCTGTGACTTCATTGTCCTCGCCATAAGCACGTGCCGACTGAGCAGATTCTCCTAGCAGGTCCTGATCTTGGTCCGAGAGACTCTGGATCCAATGGTTCTCCTGCTTGTTACTGTTAAGAGCCGCCACTAGAATTCCCAGGATGGCAACAGCAAAGTCAAATTCATTGACTTTGGTAGCTCTTTCCATTATCCAGTTCATGCAAGAGTCGAAAGGGTTGTTGGCGGAAGAGTGTTGACTTTACAACATCGTCAGCTCCAGTAAATGGACTTGATTTAAGCCTTTTAATCCTTGTTGGAATTCCCCCGTCCCAGGATCTCACAGAGCGAAATGCGATGCGCCGAGTCAAATGCCTTTTTAGGGCTTTTATAACTCACAAACTGCTCTACGTGATCTGGAAGGAATTTATCTCAAGCTTCTGTATCGAAAATATTGTGTTGATACAACATGTTCTGTTGGAAGAGCGCAGCCTGATGTACCTTTGGAAAATACAGAACACCTTTGTGCCCTACAAAGAATACGCTCCAACGGTTTTGTATCGCAACAGTTACGCTTAAATGCAAACATTGATCCACAATAATATTTTGTTTTAAATTACACGTTTTATGCACATTTACTAACACTTTCCATGTGCTAATGTTAATCACAGTCTTCTATTAATCTTCATATAACATATTTTCCATTTTTAGCCCAGCAGCTAGGCCTACGTGTCAAGAATCATGCCCTGGTGTTTCTAATATATTTTAACACGCAATGCTTAGCTTAATATCTTATAAAATACAAATCAAAACGTGTCCACTAGCATTCCGTTGATCATAAAAATAGGTATAGTAGAATGCATACTGAAAAATACATCTTGCTATTTTTCAGTATCCGGTTTTGTAAACAATGTACGTGTCGTCTGCTACAGAAGGAGCTCATGGCAGGCTTCTAAATCACGATTGATAATATTGCTTACATGTTACACTTTTTTACCTTTACGGGAACACTTATAAGGTCATATAATTACTTTTGTGATCTTAATATTAAATCTCTCGTCAGTTCCGTTGATAAATCAAGTAGGAATTGATCTTTTCGCAGCAGTATGGACATTTTAATCACTGTGATGTGTACTTACAGCTGCAATAAGATGGATTCAAATGTAGCTACAACCGAAATGGTTTATCTTGTATCATCATTATCACCCGTACTCATCATCATTATTATTTTTACTATTATTATCATTACTCTTCTTATTCTCATTCTTCTTATTATTGTTACTATCACCATTACTATTTTCATAATTATGATTATCTTTACTATTACTATTTACTGTTATTATTCTTATTGTCATTATTATTATTGTTATTATTATTATTGTTGTTTTTATCATTATTCTTGTTATCAGTGGGTTGTTATTGTGATTATTATCGAGATCGTTATTGAATCGACATTTAAAAGATGCATTGCTTATAATTGCGAAGATGTTTGGACCATGTAGGAATGTTTATTTACGTAGTCTTATTTCGAAGGCATATTTAGATAGTATCAATTACAGTGATTATCAAGAAATGTTTGGCTTGTTTAAATGTTCATAATTCATTGGGGAAAGTTGTAAACCGTTTTATTGTCACTTTGTCAGACGGAATTGTGTCTTCGTCAAGCACACAGGTATGTAGTTCTGGTATTTAAAATTGTGTTTTACCCAGATATTAATTAAAGGTTGTATTGCTTGACAAATGATTTAATATAGGAAATACTTATTTATCTACTTTTTTGGGCACGTAGATGCAGCAACGGAACTTGTTGAAGGAAACATTTCAGACTTCACAAAGGAATGAATTGGGAATGACAAAGTATAAGAAAGGAGAATCGAGAAAGTGTCTTCGCCTTTGAGGTTGAAGGAGGCTGCCAGTTCTTTCTCCCTTATCGCAAAAACATTTTCTGGCGCTGGGTTTTGAAGTCGAAGAGATAACAAGCGTATGAATAATACTTTTTAGCAGACAATTCAGTCCTGTTATCCGTATTTATTCCATTTCTACAGGCACTAACACGGTGATTTTATTTCTCCAAGCATCCCAGCAAACAATTTTGTGCCTCCCTTACCACTGGGTTTCTGAAAATCTAGGCCGTTGTTGACTACTAGAACTGGAATATATTTAAATAAATAGTATCTGAAACCCTCAGTCACCCTAGCAGCTGAAGGATGCCGCACAAATCTACGTTAAAATGGAGGATAGCGAAGGAACAATAAGCAATATCCTTTTGCACAATGCTCCTAAGTCTATACCACCTCCGGAATTTGAACTCTGTACATATTATAAATGTTATCTGGTACTTAGAAGCATAATGCAGAAAACTCTCCTTTTATTGAAACGTCAGGTGTCTCTTTTTACTTAATCCAGTTCAGTCACGTTGATCTAAAATAAATAAATGAATAAAAGACAAAAAAGCTCCGAGGAATGTCAGTGCCTAGAGAAATTAAACAGATTTCTAAACAGATTCCTAATCCTACTAGCATAGGTCTAGCTATCCATAAACAGTGACAAAAGTCTTGAGTAGGAAACTGTGGACTCCTTTGCAGTCTCGTATATTAAGTAAATGTACTTGGAGTCGAATGATAAATACGATTTCCCAACATAAGAAGACTGTATCTGATAATCACTGTTCGGATTTTGACTGATTTTTCACAAACGCCTTCAGAACATTCTGATATGTATGGATGTTCAGCAGCTAGACGTGCCTCCCAACTATGATCAATTTTGCAACGAGTAAGCACTGTTTTGGCCTCAATCTCAAACTACTCTCTCCCTTATGGCAACTGTAGTAAAGTGTTGAGGATCTTGAGGTCACTATGAGCTAGTGAGCTGGATATAAAGGTTGCCTCTCTTGGAAGGATCACCAGCAAGGGATAAATGAAACAATTTCTATATGCCAATCCTATGAGATAATGCTCCCTTTTTGGCTAAAGGAACCTTTTCCAGTTTCCCAAATGCACCCATAACGAGCTGTGATGCGGGGAACGTATTCCTTAAAACACTTCTAGCTCTTATGTTCATGATTAAACCCCTGGGGTGTAATTTCTCCTCTGCAGGGGTTGATACGCGAGAAAATGATGTTATTCATGTGTATGGACATCTTTTAAGAGAACGACACTTTCTCCAACGAATGACGCAAACCACTTGAACTCCGTCACTGAGAGCTTTTCTGTGACAAATCCTGTAAAGAAAATTTACCTGATAAATGTAGATATATTGAATCAAAATGTTCTTATGGTGAAGGCTTCTGATGTAGTTTTTGCTATACATTACAAAACTTGGTTTATTGATATTATCCCCGAAGCAATGTCAGCTTCTTGGCTAAAGAACTGTCGTTATATGAGAGTAATTGTCTGCAAATGAGTCAAGAGGAAGCGTTTTTCTCTATTTGCATATTCATTTGTCTATTTGAGATACGATTCTGAGAAGAAACTATCAAAAGAATGAACAAACCTTGAGTAAAGTGTTGATTGAAGCAAAAAAAGAGACTGAGCCCAGAGTTCAGTTCATTCTGATTCATCTCTTCAGTTTTTTTTTTTGCTGGTATTTTGGTTTTGGTTTCCATGGCATATTTAATTGTCATCACTCTTTGGCGTCACATCAGACTGTGAGGGCGTTTGTTACATAACATTCCAGGGTGAGCACGGCAGAACAGTGCCAGTCAGACATGTAAAAAAAAAAAAAAAAAAAAATCCATTACTCGTAATCTCCCAAACTTTCCACAAAAAAGACAAAGATACGAGACGTGATATTTGCGATACAAGTGGATATATTCGCAGACAAACATTTCTGGAATCATGGAATGTATACGCATACAGCAGCCAATGGTAAATTTAAGCATTTTCGTTCTGTTCCTTGCAAAAAAACGAGGTGTCAAGTCCTATTCTTATAGTTATGTATGTAAATAATGTCCATATATGCTAGGTATATACGTCAGCCAGATGGAATCATGACCAACTATTTCTGTGTCCAAACGGGTTTTCTTTAAATTTGGAATAATCGAAAATATCCTCCTCAGATAGGGAATAAACCGGAAAATCCATTAGCCATTATCTCTAGGCGGAACAACACATATCCAGCTCCACACGCATTATTAACTGCCAAAGAACCATGCTCTTGCCACCCCAATGGAAATGGTAAGCCAAATGTGCGTCTATTAAATCACAACAAACCATTCCCATTAAATAACACCATTCGTGTTATTTAAGGAATGAAGTGATTTTTGCACAGTAGGATGCGACTTATGCCTCAATTTTTCTTCTGATTTCTGTCTACTTAATGATTCCCTTTATACTCATTATCCTCACATCATTCGCTCTGTCGCTACAGATGTACCTCATTCCTCATTCCTCTAAGGAGATGTTAGAGGAGAATGGTAATGGAATTGGGGTTGGCACCACACTCCACGGGCCTCGGTATTAAAGGCTCAGTTATGCCCTTTTCTAACACTTCTTTTAGTAACTTACGTAGACTAAGCTGCTCCTTGGACACGGTAGTAGTTAGGCCTACTACAAAAAAAAAAAAAAAAAAAAAAACGGTTCCTCAGCGGCCATATTTGAAATTGCTACCGTATCTTTTTTTTGTTTATTATATGGTTGACGGAAATGCTTCAAAAGAGCAAAATCTCTTCGCGTTCGCTCGGGCAAAACTTAGTGAACGGCCGACCTGAGCAAACGTTTCGCGAGGCATTGCGAGGCGAACGGGACCAAGGTTGGAGGTGGTTCGCTTAGCCTCGCGGCCCGATTTCAAGAACTTATGAGGAATGATATATAGAAATATAAGAAATACGGTCGTCAGCAAACCCCATGGTGCTCAAAATGTTGGCTTCTGTTCTCGACGAAGCTCTCAGTATCTGCACAGGTGATATAACTCCCCTGTGCGCTATCTCTGTCTCTGTATTGTGAGTGGAGAACGATCTCTCTAATGAGTTATTTAATTTATATAACGTAAAGGCTCAATACCCATACGACTCTTCAACTGTTCTAAAAATTCCACCATCTTGCTTCAGTGCTTCACGAACCACAGATCGGAATTCAACTCACATCGCGGTTTGGCTTCAGTAGTACCGCTTCCATTGCAACTATGAGGAAAATCCGTTAAAAATCTGCATGAGGAGATTTTGATGAATTTCTCCCCCATTATGACAGGAATGGGGATAAGGATGAGGATGTAATGGTATTAATGATGGTAATAGTAATGATAGTGATAGGAATGATAACAGTAATGATAATGACAACAATGATAGTGTTAATAATGATAATAGAATAATGATAATAGTAATGATAAGAATAATAGTAATTCAGATTGTTGACCACTGACCCATTGCACACCTAATAAAAGTCAAATTGTAATTTAGATACTAACCCTTTCATTACATTTCTCTTGCAATCTAATAACATAAAGATTCGACATATTTGTTTTTTGTTTTGTTTGTTAGAAGCAAAATAAAAACGTTTGAGCAAAAGGCTTCATTGCTTATATATCCATCTGTTATTTTTTGTTATTCATTTTATTATTATATTTCTTTTTATTTTATATTCATGATTGCATTCGTATTTACTTATTCAGCTGAATGGCGCTGATAGATAGGTGGTTGCTACCTTCTCAAATAAATTTTCCTTGTCGGACAAATGTGACAATCTGTTTTCTTGTGATGTGCTTCTTCCATTTAGTAGATTTAAGTGAAATATCGCTCAATCCTCGATGTTTCCGACCTAATAATACCAGTTTAAGTATTTTTTTTCGCTTGAGGTTAATATAACATATGTTACGTCAAGTTTGTTTACATAAGAAGCGGTGTTTCAGATCAGTACAGTGTTGCCGCTATAGCCAGTCAGTGAGAATGAGCGGTTACTCTACTGATCGTCTTCCGTTTTCTTTCTTTGAACGTTGGAAGTAATCGGAATTGTTTTGTTGGAAAATCCATGAATTTTGCCACACCTTTTGAATTTCCTATCTGCGCCACTGCAATTATTGTGTTTCATGAGTTGTCAAGGCTTTATGAAATTATATTATTTTGGTTCTTGTTTTTTTTTTTATATATATAGAAACCTGGTGAGTTTCGCTTATTATTAATATTATGGTTTGTCAATTCTTTGATTTTTTTCTTATTGTATATGCCTGAAAGAATGAACTGTCAACGAGAACGAACTTAAAACAGAATATAGAGTAACAAGAGAGACAATAATCCTTAAATAAGTTTATTAAGTTACGTTGAAGCGGCGGCGGAGAGTCCAAATATATATATGTATAAATAATCAACATCAAACAACAACAGAGCAGTGACAGAGCATCGTAGATATATCCGTGGGTCGTACCGCTCAGCGCCGTGATGGACTGGACGGCCCTCCACGGAAGGTCGTCTTGTGGGTCGTCCTTCAACTACGACTCCTCAAGACAGGGTCGTGCCAGGAGGTCGTCTTCAGCCCGTCACCGTGACCGGCGGAAACGACAAGTCATATGGTCGTCCGGGAAGTCTGATACGAAAAGAAAAGTGAGGAAGAGGTCGTATTCGTTGTATTAGGGTCAGACTAAGACGGCCTGTCAGTGTATCGAATCTGACCTTGTGAACCGGCAGGAAAGCTGGACTTTCGAAACAAGAGTCGTTCCTGCCACTAGGTCGTCCCGGGTCGTCCCTTCCTCCCTACTTCCCGAAGCAACTCTCCGTCAGCCCTGGAGTGATGCAGTAGGCCGTGGCGGTGACGGTCGTCCCGGCGATGTAGGAGGTCGTCGTGAGAGTGAGGGTCGTGAAGCCGGTCGTCCAGATGGTGAACTTGCGGTCGTCCCTCCGGAGGAAGTCCCGCTGCTGCTGCGACAGCTTCTCCAGGCTCTCCGCCGACCGCACGCTCCCCTCGAGGTCCAGGGACGCGATGTCCTCGTCGTCGCTGCGGAGGGAACGAGGCGCGGGTTAGCAGCTGCGGCGGCTGGTCGTCGTCGTCGTCCTCGTCGTCGTCGCCATTGCCGCTGCTGCTGTCCTTGGCTTTGATCAGTGTCAGTATCCTATTTGTCTTATCCTTAGCTTTGATCAGTGTCAGTATCCTATTTGTCTTATCCTTAGCTTTGATCAGTGTCAGTATCATAGTGTCAGTATCCTATTTGTCTTATCCTTAGCTTTGTCAGTGTCAGTATCCTATTTGTCTTATCCTTAGCTTTGATCAGTGTCAGTGTCTTAGCTATCCTATCGTCTTATCCTTAGCTTAGTGTCAGTATCATATTTGTCTTATCCTTAGCTTTGGTCAGTGTCAGTATCCTATTTGTCTTATCCTTAGCTTTGATCAGTGTCAGTATTTGTCTTATCCTTAGCTTTGATCAGTGTCAGTATCCTATTTGTCTTATCCTTAGCTTTGATCAGTGTCAGTATCATTTGTCTTATCCTTAGCTTTGATCAGTGTCAGTATCCTATTTGTCTTATCATTATCAGTATCAGTATTGTGTATATCTTATCGTTATTACTACTACTATTGTTATTGCTATTACTGGAATCATGATTATCAATAATAATAATGATGATAATAATGAAGTTGATAGTTTGTGATAATTGTCATTAACAGTAATATTATTGTCATCCTTATCATTGTATTTATCATTACTACAATTTTTTCATCACTATCACGCTTATAATTATCATCATTTTTTTTTTTTTTTTTATAAACCTTACACGTTTATGCTTACTGCAGAGAAATTTCAAGTTTGCTGATACAGCCTAAGAGTAAATAGAAATGTGTGATATGTATGTTAGTCAATGCATATATTAGTTATAGCAACTGGAGTGATTATAAGTAACATCCCTTTTAAAACATCAGTGGAAAAAAACGTCACAACTAAAAATCATTTTCACTTGATTGTGATTTTTTCTGTTCTTTTTTTTCTTATTTCTACATGTATTTGGACTATATTGTATTTACTTTATTTTTACGATTATTAAGTCGACTGTTTACCATGTCTAATAAATAAGCCATTAAAGCTCCGCCCACTGACTGCATCTCAGCCAATGAGAATCGACCACCGGCGGATGTCTTTGTTTACATCCGGGCATTTTTCTTGAACAATCCTGGAAACGTGATATTTTTATGGATATGAAAGTGCCTTTTATATATCCTTAATCCTGCTATAGATATACCTTGTCGCTGTCTCTGTGCAGCAGGTTAGTATGGCAAAAGGGGGAGGGGGTATAGCAAGAATGGTAGTGCATGAGCCATTGTTTGTCACGTGATCGGTGGGCGGAGCTTCACTTCATCTGTCCACTGGTCATATCCAAGTGAGGTTAAATGCTCTACAATTTTTCTCTTTAACAAAATCCTTTTAGTATCCTACGTATTGAACCGTATTGTTTTAGTTGCTGAAATGGTGTAGTAAAAAAATAGAGGAAAAGACGAAGAAGAAAAATTAAAGAAACAGAAAAAAAATGAAAACACAAACAAGAGAAAGAAGACGGAAACAAGGATGGCAAACAATCAAAGAGGGAGAAGAAATAAACAAGTAGAGGGAGCAGCGAAGGGAGCAGCCCGAAGCGATCCCTCCAGCCGAGGGAGCGAGCGAGGCCCCGACTCACATGGCCTCCAGGGTGCCCGCCCTCTTCTTCCTCCTCCTGCAGGCTGTGGCGCCGCCGTTGGTGGAGAGGCAGGTGGAGAGCGCCGTCAGCGTGGAGGTCGTGAGGCGGGTCGTGGTCGTCGAGGTGTAGTAGGCGAAGATCCTTTCGCCTCTGCCGCTGTCCTCGTCGAGGGACTCGTGCTCCTCCGAGGGCGACAGGTCCTTCGGGGGCGAGAGGTCGTCCGCGGTCGCATCCCCGGCCGCGACTCCGACGACCACCACGCCCACCAGACACGCCACGACCACCGGCACGACCTTCATCTGCGGGATAAAATCTCTCCTTAGTAGTGCTCCCGACGACCCTGGCCGGCTCCGAAGGGCCCCGCGAGACGCCATTTTGGAAAGAGGAAACCCAACTTCAGCGGCGGGAAAGACGAATAACAAGTTCCAACTTCAATCCCATGAAGTTCGATCCAGTTTTTTTCGCTCATTTTTTCTCCCGTGAGAGACGCGGGCAAAGAGAACGATGAGAGTCGGATCGTTGAATTTTTAGTGACCCAGAAGATATGTTTGTTTGTTTGTTAGTGTGTATGTGACTTTGTTTGTGTGTGCGTATGTGTTTGCTTTGTGTGAATCCTGTCCATATCGTAACACCGTTTGCTTGAACATTTTTATTATTATTATTATTGAACCAGCCATTTACTTATTTTTCTTTTTTTAATAAGATAATATTTTTTCTTTTTTATACGGCCAATATTCTTCTGTTATCAATCAACCAAGAATCTTTCTTCTTTTATTCAACCAAACATCCTTTTCTTCTTCTCTTCTTACAAAACCGAGGATTTTCTTTTATTCTTTATTTCCTTCTTCTGTCCAGAGAAAAAAAAATCCTCTATTACTCAACCAAGAATTTCCTTTTCCTCTAAGATTAAGAACAAGAATATTCTTCTTTTACTCAACCAGAGATCCTCTTGTTCTTGTTCTTCTTCTTCTCCTTCTCCTTATCGTAACAAACCAAGAAAT